GTGCTGTCGAGTGAACTCCAACTCATGGTGACCCTATGTGTGCCAGAACTGTGTTCCATCGGGTTTTCAACGGCTGATTTTGGGGAAGTACGTCACTAGGCCTTTTTCTAAAGTGCCTCTGAGTGAACTTGAACCTCCAACCTTTCAGTTAGCAGCTGAGTGCTTTAACTGTTTATACCACCCAGGAACTCCCCCTCATCAGTACTGGGATGATAACAATAAGGATGCCATTTTGGCTCAGTCTCCCACCAGAAATAATGCCTGTCTCTACTTCAAAAGGCCCTGTGGCACAGGCCTCGATCTGGGACAAAAAACACTTTCATGAATGGATGTTTAGTTTTGTGAAATGCTTTTTCTGCGTCTTTTGAGATTACCATGTGGTTTTCTGTTTTATTCAGTAGATATGGTGAATTACATTGATTGGTTTTTCTAATGGTAAACCAACCTTGTATAACTGGGATAAACTTCACTTGTGCATAGTGTAATATCCTTTTTATGTATTAGTGGATTCAACTTGCTAATGTTTTGTTAAGGGTTTTTATGTCTATGATCTTGAGGGATATTGGTTTGTAGGTTTTTTCCCGTTGGGATGTGTTTGGTTTTGATATTAGCAGGAGTGCAACTAGGGTGTGTGGGCCTCCAGGCAAACAGTTTTTACCAGGTCTTTGTCTATATAAACTGTTTGATTAAAAATGTAGTATATAGAGAAAAATGTAGAACAAAACCAGACTTACTGGCCTGACAGAGACTGGAGAAACCCTGAGAGTGTGGCCCCCAGACACCCTTTTAGCTCAGTAATGAAGTCACTCCTGAAGTCCACACTTCAGCCAAAGATTAGACAGGCCCATAAAACAAAACGAGACTAAAGGGGCACACCAGCCTAGGGGCAAGGACTAGAAGGCAGGTGGGGACAGAAAAGCTGGTAATAGGGAACCCAACATCGAGAAGGGGAGAGTGTTGACGTGTCGTGGGCTTGGTAACCAATGTCACAAAACATTGTGTGTACTAATTGTTTAATGAGAAGCTAGTTTGTTCTGTAAACCTTCACCTAAAGAACAATAATAAAAAAGTAGTATAAAAGTCCTGGGTCTTTGCAAGGTATAGGGAAGATTTAGAAAAAATTTTCCAGTTCATTATCATCAAAATGCACTGTTCCTGGCTTATATCCTATTTCTAATCATAAGAAAATGTAGCAGCGTTTTTAGTACTCACCATGCCAGAACCTGTTTTCAGTGAAACAACACAGATCTCCTTGCTGCTGCAATTCTCTAATGCCATTTATTTAATGTTTGTCATATCATTACTCATGATGCTACATCATCCAGCTGCCACCCATGAATACTGGCTTCTATAAGACACTGTAAAGTTGTTTCTGTGTTTTGTGGATGATGACCACAAAAGCAGGTCTCACCCAGAGAATGCAGAACAATGTGAATAATATCTTGTTTTCTGGTCATGTTAAATTTAGTGTTTGGAATTTTCTAGCATAAATGTAGAATTCTTTAGATCATAGTCATTGCATTCCTAGAATGTGATCTTCTTCAGTATTGACCACATTCCTGCTTTCCACAGTCTGCCATTAAACCCAAAAGCAAACCCACTGCTGTCAAGTCGATTCCAACTCATAGTGACCCTATAGGACAGAGTAGAACTGCTTCATAGGGTTTCCAAGACTGTAAATCTTTATAGAAGCAGACTGCCACATCTTTCTAGGCTGGTGGGTTCAAACTGCCAACCTTTTGGTTAACAGCTGAGTGCTTTTACCACTGTACCACCAGGGATCCTACACTGCTATTAGCAGGGAAAATTGGTGAGAGAGTAGTCTCGTTCATGCAAGGAGTGTCCATCCCTTATCCAACATGACTTGAGACCATCCTGGAGAACACAGCCACATGAATCGGAGGCAAGAGAGAACATCAGTCAGAAGGGCAATTGGCGTTGCAGAGCAGTGGTGTCAGAAGCTACCAGAGGAGACAGGTACAACCACCTCCACAGGACTACCTGACATGTAGTATGGAGGCTGTGGAAGGGGTGGGGTGACTGACCTGAGTACCAGAGGTGGGGATGCACAGGACAAAGGACGCTTGCCACCATGGGTAAATATGCCTGCTGCCTTCAGGTGCTGTCATCATGGGCAGCACCAAAGTCAGGATATAGATGGGTGAGAGTCAAGGCATGGGTCCAAACATGTGGCTCAAATACAAGAGTTGGTAATAAACTCTTGGAAGTCCAGAGTCCTGGGCTTGTCCTGTGTCTGACATAAGTGAGAATCACTCAAAATTGGCATGTCAGCACCATTCTGGAGGCCCAATGTTGTATGATCTCATGAAAGCAATATTGGGCCAGTCAGAGGGAGCAATCTGCTTGCCAGTCCCTCTTAAAACTGGGATCTGGCCATGGGGTCCTGAGACAACCCATAGGTGTTAGTCTCTGAGCTCCTTGGGGCGTCTGGTTGACCCCATGAGCAGGACAGAGGGTCAGAGGGGATAATCAGGGACCAGGGCCCATGAAGGTCCTAGTCCAGGCTCAGGGCACCCGGCCCAGATGATATTGCCAAACCTCAACTGATCTCAGACAACAGGGTGGGTGGGACATAGAAGATTAAAAAAAAAAAAAAGATGTAAACAGAACTTTTAGATATTAAAAAAACACTGGATGGAATTCACAGAACATTAGAAACTCAAGGGAAAAAAGGAACAGTGAATGTGAAGACATTACAATAGAAGCTATCCAGACTGAAGCACAGGGAATAAAGACTGAACAGAAAGTAAAAAAAAAAAATGAATCAGCCTCAGTGACCTGTGGGACAATATCAATGGTCTTATTTATATATATTTTACTTTCCATTTGTCTCCTACGCATATTTTTCCTTTTGCCTTCTCGAACATACAGAACATACTTACAGTGTTGTTGTAATGTTCTTGTCTGCTAATTCCATGTCTGTCAATTCTGGGTCTATTTCTCTTGACTGATTTTTCTCCTGATTTTGTATCAAATTCTCCCGCTTCTTGGCATGTGTAACATTTTGCTAAATTTTATGTGCTGAATGCTAAAAAGAAAAATTTTTTTTTGGTCTTCCTTAAAGAATTTTGTGTTTTATTCTGGCAGGTGGTTAAATTACTAAGGATCAGTTTAATAATTCTGAGGCTTGTTTGAAAGCTTTTTTTAGAGTGGGTCTAGAGTAACCTTTATTCAAGAATTTAAGAGCTGCTACTAAATACCTTTCTGGCATTTCCATTGAATGTTCAATGAAACCTCTTCATGCTGGCATGTGGGAACTTGAATGATTCCTGGCCTTACAGGAGCTGTGGGATTTGTTCAGTTTATAGCGCCTCAGTAATTGCTCTTTCTTCAAACTTGTAGGGTTTCACTCCATTCATGTATAGCTTGATATTCAGCCAAAGGCTTTGGAGGCCCCATGCAGATTCTGTAGCTCTTTCTTTTCTTAGCTCTCTCCTGTCCAGAACTCTGTTCCACAAATTCTAATCACCACAGCCTCCCTGCAGCTCTGATCTCTGTCTCTTTAACTCAGTGAGACCACTGAACTTTATTTGGGAGTCCCATCCTGGTGCTGTCAACCCTGGTGGTGCTGTGGTTAAGAGCTTGCCTGCTAACCAAAATGTCGGCAGTTTGAATCTACCAGGTGCTCCTTGGAAACCCTATGGGGTAGTTCTACTCTGCCCAACAGGGTCACTATGAGTCAGAATTGACTCGATGGCAACAGGTTTGTTTTTTTTTTTTGTTTTTGTTTTTGTTTTCCTAGAGCTATGGTCCGAAAATTGCCTCTAGGCACAAAGCCAGGGGGCTCACTTAGTTTATTTCCCTTTGCTCAGAGATCATTGTCCTAAGCAGCTCTGCTGACCAATGTCTGAAATTTCTTATTTTTCCTTATATTTTACCCATTTTTTCTAGTTGTTTACAATGGGAAGTTGATTCCAAACTGTTACTTCTTCATAGCAGGAAGCAGAAATTCCCCAGACACAATACACTTTCAACTTTGCCTCCGTATTCTACGTTGAATGTAGAACAAAGGCTGCAGATTCCTAGACTCCCACAAATGGCAAACTCTGTTTCTTAGAATTCTTCCCCTCATCCCTACTCCCACTAGTTCTCAGAAAACTTTTTTATACCAGAGTTTCAAGTGGAATCCCAAAATCAATATAGTGACCTCTGGACTTACAACTTAATTAGTGCCAAGATTATGGTCTCAAGTTGAGCCAGTTTAAATGGTAAACTTACTTCTTAGAGGCCCGATGTCACAAATTGGGGGTCTGTCACTGGAAAATCTTATAATGTAAATATCCAGAATTGATGATGGAGATAATATGAGTTGAATCTATTAAAACAGCTGTGGTAAAGTGATGATGAGGGACATTTTCTCTTCCCTAGAACTGCCAACTAGAGTCCATAGTTTAGAATAAAACTTGCCAAGTGTTTTACCTTTTAAGTTCAGAGAAATGCCTTCTTAAACCAGTTCCACACTGTGGATTTGCTAATAGAAAACATTCAGCAGAACCAGTTTCTTAAACCTTACTCCTTTGGTTTTTATAAAATAAAGGATAGAGAGAGAGCAAGGATATTAGAACTCTGAAGAAAGTAAAATTCATGAAGTTATTAACGATACCTTTTTCCTCCTCTTCTCTTGGTGCACGTCCTTGGGTGGTGCAGTTTGCACTTAACTACTAAACTAAAGGTTAGTGGTTCGAACCCACCCAGCAGCTCTGTGGAAGGAAGAAAGCTATCTGCTTCCATAAAATTTCAGCCAAGAAAACCCTGTGGAGCAGTTTTACTCTTTAACACATGGGGTCACCACGAGTGGAAGAAATTGACTTGATGGCAATAGGTTTGGTTTTTTTTTTTGGTTTCCTTGGTGCAGAGACCAGAGGGCAAGGAGCACAGAAGTTTCCATTTGTTCCACCCTCTTCTGTAGAAATCTGTTTCCTGAGTTCCCCTCACTTCCAGTAAGAACAGTTGTGGTGTGATTGTGGGTATGTGCCACTAAGCTGACAGAGCATGTGGTGTTGCTGTTGATGCTGTGAAAGACAGTGCCCCAGGGCAGCCTGTGTTCCCACCCTCGGCTTGGCAAGAACTGAGAAATACATGCCACGGAAGGTAGATGGGGCTTGCCAGAATTATGGGACTTTTGGGTGGATTGCTTGTTGCTATGGTAATAGGGGAGAGAGGACAGGGTAACTGTGCAAGCGTGGGCTCTTGAAGAGCTAACAATTTCATCTCCACTTAAAAGCGAGAGCCAACATTTAACTTCAACCATCAGAGTTAGACTGAGAGGTAGAAAGGGGACTCGTCATCTCTGATGTTATGTTGCTATGTAAGCTAAGGTCATTCTCCCTCTTTCCTAGGCAAAGGGAGAGAAAGAGAGAGGGGAGAGGGAGCTTTGTCTCAGACATGGGACTGAGATTTCAATATCCATTTTGGATTTCAAAAAGCACAGGATTGGAATATTAAACCTGAATGGGATGAAGAAAAAAGATGTCTGGCCTAGGTAGATGCAGGGTTCAGAGCCCAGAACATTTTGTGCTGTTTGAAAATGAATAAAATTCATTCTTGCATGTATCTATGTTGAGATTCTTTAATCAAACTTATTACGTATGCTTGTACAAGCATGTAAATCCAAGCATGACATAAAAAAAGCTTTTATATTGTGTTTGGTTTTACATGCCTGCAAGATTCACTTGTGGGAGTTTTACAGCATGGACTTTTTTGACTGAGGCTTTAAAAATACATATTTTCAATAAAACTTGAGCATAAGATGCTGTCTCAGTTATCTAGGGCTGCTATTAACAGGAATACGGCAAATGGGTGGCTTTAACAAACAGAAATTTACTTTCTGACAGTTTAGGAGGCTAGAAGTCTGAATTCAGGATGCTTGCTCTAGGGGAAGTAGTTCTCTCTGTGTCAGCTCTGGAGGAAGGTTCTTGTCTCTTTTGAGCTTCTGTTCCTGGTCAGTGGTGTCACTACGGGGGTGCAGGGGTGTGGGCTGCACCCCCTGATGGTGTCAGATGGGGTGACACCAAAATGACTCCAGGGTCCATGGTGGCAGCAGACGGGCTGGTGTCGTTGGGTGGAGGGGCTATTACATCACTAGGGTTGGTGTCACCCTGTGAGGTAACTCGTCACCCCTACTTATCCTTGTCCCACTGTCACTTACCAGTCAGGGTGAGGGTGGACTGTGTGGAACCCGGCATTGGTCGGAGAAGAGGATCTTTAATTTGGCCAGTGGGAGAGGGGAGGAACTGTGGGGAGCTATGGAGGTGGGGCTGCATGGCCCTGTGTGGTGGATGGGCTGGGGCCAGGCAGGTCAGGCTGTGGTGGTGGGGAGGTTCCCTGGCTGGGCTTGCCCACCCCGGGGGGTGGAGGGAGAGAAGTAACATCATGAGTTACCACACTGGATAACATCAACCCTAGTGATGCCACTGTTCCTGGGTGATCTTTATGGGATGACACTAGAACTGATATTTACCATATGGCCATATGGCATGTGTTCTGTATACCAGTTGCCATAGAGTCAACTCCGACTCATGGTGACACCATGTGTGTCAGAGTAGAACTATGCCCCACAGAGTTTTCAATGACTGATTTTTCAGAAACAGAACACCAGGCCTTTCTTCTGAGGTGCCTTTGGGTAGACTCGAACCTCCAACCTTGTGGTTAGCAACTGAATGCAAAAAACATTTGCACCCGTTATTTTAAAGGACTTTAAAAAAGAAAATAGACACACACAATTCAAATGTTAAACTAAAAGATTCTTATTTCTGTTTTAAATATTTCAACTTAAGTTAAGGGAACAGATCCAGAGTGACTGGGTAATTTTGTGAGGTAGCAACAGAACAAGGACCAGAAGTCATGTTTCCTTCTGCCAAATTTACCCAAAGACAGTTGTCTTAGTTACCTAGTGCTGCTATAACAGAAATACCACAAGTGAATGGCATTAACAAGTCGAAATTTATTTTCTCACAGTTTAGAAGGTTAGACGTCTGAATTCAGGGTACTGGTTCCAGGGGAAGACTTTCTCTCTCTGTCAGCTCTGGAGGGAGGTCCTTGTCTCTTCTAAGCTTCAGCTCCTGGGCAGTCTTCATGTGGCTTGGCATCTCTCTTCCCCCATCTCTCCGCTGCTCTCTTATTTAATCTCTTCTATATCTCAAAAGAGATTGGGTCAAGATACACCCTACACTAATCCTGCCTCATCAACATAACAATGACAACCCATTCCCAAATGGGATTATAACCATAGGCGTAGAGGTTAGGATTTATAACACATATTTTTTGGGGACATAATTCCATCCATAACATTCCCCCTTTTGGCCCCTAAAAATTCGTGCCCTTGCCACATGCAAAGCACATTTACTCCATCACATTATCACGGAAGTCTTAAATCAACTCCAAGTTCAAAATCTCATCTTCTGAATCATCTGAATCCAATATCGTGAGACTTTAGGCTTCTTCTCCTGGGACGAAATTCCTCTTCATCTGTGAGCCTGTGGAATCTAGAATACAAGTTATCTGTTTCCAAAGTACAATGGTGAAACAGGCACAAGATAGACATTTCCATTATAAAAGGGAGAAATTGAAGGGAAAGAAGGGATAACAGGCACCAAACAAGTCCCAAACCCAGCAGAACGAATTACATTAGCTCTCAAGAATTAAAAATAATCCTCTCTTCTCTGAGACCATCTAGGCAATGGCCCCACCCTCCAGACTTGGGGTGGTGGCCATGCCCTCTGGATTCTGGGTGGAGGCCCCTTGACACTGGGCTTCAGCTCTGCAATCCAGGCCCTCTGGGATGGCAACTCTGCTCCCTCAGCTTTAGGTGGCTCCATTTTCCTAGTCCATCTGAGAGGCGACACCACCGCCTCAGCCCTGACAGGCCCCATTCTTCTGGCTCTTGAACATGGCAGCTCCATCCCCTCATCTTTGGGCAGCATCCTCACGCATTTTACTGTAAGCAACTAGGAGAAAGCACGCAGCCCCTTTAAGATCTTTCTTAGAAATCTCATCAGCCAGATATCCAAGCTCATCACTTACAAGTTCTACCTTCCACCAAACATTTGAACATAATTCAGACAAGTTCTTTGCCACTGCATAAAAAGCATTGCTCTTTCTCCATTGTCCAATCACATGTTCATAATTTTCTTTTAAAGCCTCACCAGAGGCACATTTAAGGTCCACATTTCCAGGAACATTCTGTTGCTGGCACCATATGTATTCTCCAAGATGAGAGACTTTCTCTATAGTTCTCCTAACTTCCTTCTGAGCCCTCACCAGAATTGCCTTTGATGCCCATAATTCTACCAGCAATCTCTTCAAAGCAATTGTCATGGATTGAATTGTGTCCCCCAAAAGTATCTGTCAATTTGACTGGGTCATGATTGCCACTATTGTATGATTGTGTACCATTTTGTAATCTGATGTGATTTCCTTATGTGTTGTAAATTTTATCACTATGATGTAATAAGATGGATTAGTGGCAGTTATACTGATGAGGTCTAAAAGATTGGATAGTGTCTTAAGCCAATCTCTTTTGAGATATAAAAGAGAGAAGCAAGTAGAGACACAGGGGGACCTTATACCACCAAGAAAGAAGTGCCGGGAGCAGAGTGTGTCCTTTGGACCTGAGGTTCCTGGGCTGAGATGCTCCCAGACCAAGGGAAGGCTGATGCATCACAAGGATCTTCCTCCAGAGCCGACAGAGAACACATTCCCCTGCAGCCGAAGCCCTGAATTTGGACTTGTAGGCTACTAGACTGTGAGAGAATGAATTTCTCTTTGTTAAAGTCATCCACTTGTGGTATTTCTGTTATAGCAGCACTAGATGACTAAGACAGCCATCTAAGCTTTTACTACCAGGCACCTTAAAAGTCTTCCAGCTTCTATCCATTACCCAATTTCAAAACCACTTCCACATTTTATATATCTGTTAGAACAGCATCCCACTCCCCCATACCAAATTCCCTGTACCAAATTGTCTTAGTTATTTTGTGCTGTTATAACAGAAATACTACAAAAGGGTGGCTTTAACAAACAAAAATTTATTTTCTCAAAGTTTAGGAGGCTAAAAGTCTGAATTCAGGGTGCATGCTCTAGGGGAAGGCTTTCTTTCTGTGTCAGCTCTGGATAGAGGTCCTTGTCTCTTTTGAGCTTCTGCTCCTGGGTAATCTTCATGTGGCTTGGCATCTCTCTTCCCCATCTATGCTTTGCTTGCTTGTTTAATCTCTTTTGTATTTTAAAAGAGATTGACTCAAGATACACACTACACTAATCCTGCCTTATTGAAATAACAAAGACAATGCTTTCCCAAATGGCATTATAACAACAGACATAGAAGTTAGGATTTACAACACATATTTTGGGGGGACATAATTCAATCCACAACAGATGCCTCCCTTTCTTCCTGGCAAATCTCCCTCTAGCAAGCATAGACATTTATCATCCTTCCAAAAATCTTTGAATTGTACTCAAAATTAGAGTCATCTGTCCTAAAAATTTTCATCGCTTAGTTGATGAGTAGGCATGAAAGCATCCAAATATCTTTGAATGGCAAATGTTGTTTCCATGGGGACTTCTTTGATATCCTTTGCACTTCCATTTCAGTAATTTATCTGAGTTCGCAAGGACTTTGATTGGGTTGTAAGTATTGGACAATTGGTTTGGCTTAGTGAGGGACAACAGTGTTTGCCACTCAATTGTTAGAAAGTCATAATATGAGGTTTAGATATTACCATGAAGTTATTACTGTATGGTTGGTTTTTATTTATTTATTTTGAGTGTAGTACAGGAGTAGCCCACATAAATATGTAAAAAATACTTTATGATACCATATGTATTAATAACCTATTGCTGCTATAAAAAATTACCACAAACTTAGTGGCTTAAAACTACACAAATTTATTTTCTTTCAGTTCTGTAAGTCAAAAACCTAAATGTGCAGAGAAAAACCAGAAATTAGTGTCACAGAATATATTTATTGTGAGTAGATAAGATTCAAATCAGGCAGTATCAATCCGAAAGTCTTGGAAAGGCACTCTGAAGAGGGGACAGTAAAAGCAGGTTATATAGGTCATTGGGTGATCTTTGAGTATAGCATTACAACATCT